TATTTAAATATGTCAATAAATTTCTTCCTGAGGTTCCAAAATAAGTAACGGTGTAGTTGATGGAGTTTTCTCTGAAGGACCTAGAAATATTCAAAATATTCTGAGGCAGATAAGTTAGGTTGGCTATGTGGTTCAGAAATACATTTTATCGTATTGGGAGAATTCCCAATATTAGGAATTCTCCTGACGAAGGCAAAAGCGAATTTCCCGAAATACGTATAGAAATATATTAAAAACAACGATCGAAATAAAAGTTAAAATTCTGAGAAAACAAAACCGATTTCAAAATATTTTCGGCGTAATAAATTTCTTCCTTAGATTCTTAAATCAGCAACGGTGTAGGTGATGGAATATTCTCTAAAGGACCTATTAATATTCAAAATTTGTTGACATTGTAAAAATTTCGTGACATTTTGAGGCAGATAAGTAAGGTAGGCTATGTGCTTTAGAAATACATTTTATCGTATTGGGAGAATTCCCAATATTAGGAATTCTCCTGACGAAGGCAAAAGCGAATTTCCCAAAATACGTATAGAAATATATTAAAAACAGCGATCAAAATAAAAGTTAAAATTCTGAAAAAACAAAACCGATTTTAAAATGTTTTCGACGTAACAACTCAAAAAAATTTAAACAATATTATATCATACACTAATATATAAATGTAAATATTTTCTACTCAACCCCGTACACTGTGTTAATAAAGGTATATTAAGTTTGACAGAGCACTAAATTTCGTTTCTTTATGATTTGTTTGAATATTTAATCCAAATAAAGACACAAACATCCTAAGCAGATTTCAATGAAATCAGTTTAGATTAAAGTGCAACTAGCATACAAATTACATATTAGGTATTAATCCCCTGAAAGATATCTCATATCCTACTAACAAGGCTCTAACTAGGTTACTTCAATTTTTGACATCAATGAAATAAGATTCTAATGTCATTATTTGGTATCTGGTATGTTGTGACACCACAACAACCATTTTAGAATAAATGACTTAGTAGACGAATATATAACATAAATTAATAAAATATGCTTTATAAAATTAACGGGAAAACTATAAACAATACATACTCAATATATGTACAATATTACTTTAATTGGAAATAAAATATATTTTTAAAGGTATAGGTAAAGTCAAGGTATATGATTGGATCTCAGCTAAAACCATATTTCCTGTAAGTTAAAAGTATCTTAGATGAATCATAATTTGTATTGTAATAGTAAACGCAGTACAATCCAAAATATAAAATATGGTTTCAAACAATTGCTTTTATGTTTTTTTCTTAGTAAAAACAATATCATTGTCTCTAAAAGGTTTTACTCGATAATTCACAGTCATAAAAACAAATAACGTAAATAAACAAAAAAAATTATAATCAAATATAAATTAAACAATGTGTTGAAAAAAGCCTTTACATATTATACTGTATATTCAATTATTCAATTATTTTTGTGTACAAAAATTCAAATGTATATTATATATAATAATAAATACGATACTATGTATATGACAGGTAATGAACTGGAAAATTTTAAGTTGTACGATTTATACAATATTTCACTGATAAGATAATTAAAAATATATGCTAAAAATATACGTACATAATTTAAATGCCTGAATTATCGATAATGTTGTGTATTTGTTAACAAAAAATACTGAATGTTTTAATTACAAACAAAAATAATTGTATTAAGAATTTATTCCAATAGCTTGATATACGTAAGCTTCGTATATATTTGCATAGAAAAGCTTATAGGTTTACTGTTTCTAATATGTAATAATGTAATTTATTTGCTAATATTGTTTCAGGGCACTTCAATTAAATATGTTAAATGCAAAATAAATATTTCAAATATCGTTTCAGAGATTAATTATCGCAAATTTTTTTTTTTTTTGTGTTCAAGATACTTTCGTACGCGTACGAATATAATATGTAAACATTAAAATTGAGAAGAGCAAATTTAACCTACTGAATGGTGACTAAGTTCTCATTTTGCAATAATTTGTATGCTTTTGGGGTTTTGTACTCAATGTCTCTATAAGCAGAATTTTAAGAGATTAAAATTTTCAAAATATTGACTAAAGTATTTCGTTTCATCTTTAATTTTTACTGCAGATCTCTTTGAACAATTAATGAATGTTTGTTGTTTAATTATTTGCTCAACAAAATGTGAAGAGTGTTGTTTGATTTATTTGTTTGCTAAATATTTTTTGATTTTTAAGTGCTAAATATATATTATATAGTTAACAATCGAATTTAATATCATATTTACTATCTGCTATATAATAATTGTAATTTTATTATTTTTGTTAATTTTGTATTGTATGTATTAGGACAAGTGCAGATATGTATTATATTATTATAAATGTTGTATAAAAATAATGAAGTAACCAAATATTTGAAAAGAAATAATATTCACTTTGACTTTAAAAATCAAATTCTTTTCTAAAAAATATTTATCAGCACTTCCAACCAATATATTTTCATAAGTGCTTGAAAATTTTTATAATTAAAAACTCCTTAATAATATAGAGTGTTCTCGAATTTTAGTGTACTTCAATTAATCAAATTCAAGCGAAAAGCGAATAATTTTCAAATAATTTGTAAACAGAACCAATTTGCTAGCTATATTTTTGTCTTTGTTCTTCTTCTATCATGCTATATACAAGTTGTTGTTGTTTTTGTCATAAGTATTAACATGGTGAATACGATGTGAATGAACAAACGAACGACAACATTTCAAGTGAATGCTTGAATCTAAAAGTATGTTTAACGTATGTTTGTGTATAAATGTATGACTTTATGAATGACAAGTAAATTAATGAATGTTTAGATCTAAAAGCGGTTGGTAGGAATGTATAAGTTATGCGATAAAATGCAATGAAATGTACCCTGTAAATTTAGAATCTGTTTCATATTTTCTGACACATATTATAAATAGAGTTAATTTTATTCTACGGCCCATGTGGATATAACAAACTTTAATAAATTATTTGTTAAAATATTTAAACAAAGTTCACACATTTGTTTCAGATGTTAGATCTTATAATTTATGTAAGTGTCGAATTGTTTTATTGAGCAACTTATATAAAACGTAATATTCATTTCATTATATTGCCTATTATTTTTCGCATCAAGGTTTTTAAACAACTATTGATATTTTAATAGTTGTTTCCTCGAATTTTGAACTGATTCCTACAGTGGGCTGCTTCATATCCTACAATTGTTCTTACGACCTTACAATGTTATACCTGCTGCTAAAAGTTTTTTTTCTTTTATTTTATTTTATTTACTTTTTTCTTTTATTTTGTCAGTTGCTAGAGTTACGTTTTTAGTACATACCCTAGTTATCTCAAAAGCTACGATTTAATGTATTTTATCATATTCTACCTCACTCTAATATGATCAAGAACAGCTTTTGGCATGTGAAGGAACCCTCCAAAAAAATGGAAAATATCTTACAGAATTTCATTCAGTAACCATCTTGATCATATTATATCCCTCACATGCCAAAAGCTGTTTATGTGCTTGAAGAGGGGCTGAATAACCAATAAATGGATAAAACATTCATTAATTAATTTTAAGTAGTTTCAAAGAGATATTTTTCCATTGAGGAAAGTATGTGTTAAAATCTGCAAGTTGAGGTAACACCTTCAAGTATTTTCTTAAAAAGTTCTCTGAGGTTACCCAAACTGATCAGCAACTCAGGTTTCCTTCTTCAGTACAAAACTTTGTCCCACATAACATATGGAACATATAAAATCATACAAGGTGTACACGTTCATTGAAAGCTTGAGCATTAGTTAAGGCAACAGGATTAAGTATAACTTATCGCCTAATCCCCAGTGCATAGTATTCCCCACATTATAATAATAATGAGCTCGAATAAGTCTTCGTTCGCAGCTGGACCTTCATATTGTGTTTTGTGGTTGTATCATATTTTCAAATTAATACTCAAATCAGGTATTTATATTGCTGAACATTATCAAATACATACTGGTACCAGTTCTTACTACAAGTACCATATTTACCATTAAACGTACCTTCTGCTCAAAAAGTACTCGGATTTTGTAAATAAAACACACAAATTTAAATTGTATTCCAAATTTATTTTATCTCCTTTAAAATATGCTTCTTCTGAAGCGATACACATATGCCAATGCTTAACTCAATCTTCCATATACTTTTCGTAGGCCCGTGAAGGTATGGCTTTTAGTTCCTTCAGCGAATTCTCTTTTATCTATTCAATCGACTCAAAACGCTTACCACGAAGGGGCCATACCCGTGAAGGTATGGCTTTTAGTTCCTTCAGCGAATTCTCTTTTACCGATTCAATCGACTCAAAACGCTTACCACGAAGGACAATTTGAGTATACTACAATATGAAGTATATTTGAATATTAGCAAAATCCATTCAAATTTCTTTTCTGACGTATGAAAGTAATTCGGTTATAGTAAAATAGTTCAACTAATGGGAATAATTTCTGACGTATGAAAGTAATTCGGTTGTAGTAAAATAGTTCAACTAATGGGAATAATTTTTTAAGTATGACTTAACGATATATATAAGTTTTAATTATATTGAAAATGTATGTGTAAGGTGTTTTCTTGGAAGTGTTAATGACTAATTCCACTCTTTACTGCTTGCCATAGTTGGTATGGTCAAATCTCAAATTACAACATTTGCATGACGTTTACCGGGTTGCAGGCATTACCAATTCGTTACTTGGGCAGTGTTTAGTTAGTCATCAATTTTGATTGAATTGTGCGCTCTTAACTAAACAATTTAGTATCTGCACTTATTTTGCGGCAAACTCAAAATTTCATTTATTTGTATCTGTATTTCTTTTCGAATGTTAGTCTTTTATGAGTATCTCTGAGCCCGGCATGATCGTTCAGTATTTTGCAGAACTTTGTTTTGGAGCGAATTTATCTACAAAATTCGTTCGCACCATTAAAAAATTGAGCGATGAGCAACAAACTGAGATTGCTGCGGTGCTAAGTGCTAAGTGTTAAGTGTTAAGTTCTCAGTGCTCCGAATTTGTTGCGGGAGCATGCAACCGCAATGAGCAACAGTTGTAGGCTCTTCTGTTTTGGATGTGGGTATTTAGTCGTATTGAGTCGTCGAGCAATGTTAACGTTTGGAATATTTACGCGCGCATTTCAATAATAATTTGAACAAATATTGTGCATCATCAATATAAAAAATATAAAAAATATAAAAAATAATAAAAAAAGTTTAAAGGCAAAATATATAGATAAATTTGTACATATGTAGATAGATACATACTTGTATACTCGTAAATAATAAAGTGAATTATTCCATTTATGAATTGTGCTTATGTAGAGGTGGCAGAAAATAGCGAATAGCAAATAGCGAATACCGAATAGCAGATAGCAGATATTGTAGTGATTGAATGCGCAACATATGGTATTTTTAGAATTATTTTATATATATTTTTTAATAATTAAAGCAGCCAAAGTGTTGTTTGCAAATTGTTTATATTGTGTGCGTGCGTGTGTGCGTGTATCTTAATATTTTGGTTTGAAATACAGTTTTTGTACTTGAAAATTTTTGATTGCTAAACACGATATCTATCTACCCTCACTGGAGCTGATAAGCTATAAGCCTGCAGCCATTCCGTTTAAAGGTTCAATGCACATTGTGGAAGCGTTTGTGAAGCCACAGTAGCACTCCTTAAAGTGCCAATTTATGAACGCAGGCGCCTAATTATGTTGTCGGTCGTGTTGTTGTTTAGTCGCCCTTTTTGGTTTGTCAATTGCTGTAAAAAAGCATTTCCAACATTCGCCCCTTATTTCGCGATAATTTTTAAACGATAAGATATTTTTTAATTAATTTTGATTAATTGTGTTATTTTTTCTTTAATCCGCCTGTGTACGTTCGTTGGTGTTGTTTTTATCTTGTTATACAGCAAGTTTACCTTGAAAGTAGTGTGAAAAATCATTGAAGAATAGTTAAATAGTTTAAAACGGCAAAACTAATGTGTGAGCAGAATAATAATTAAATATATTTAACAAAAAAAAAAAACAAAACAAAAAAAAAAACAAATTAATATTTATATAAAATCACGTTTAAAATATTAAAAAGTTTATAACAAATTATAATGTTGATATAATTAATCTCTCAAATATAAAATTCACTGTGTTTTTTGTTTGTTATTGTTATTTTCGTTGACTTGCTGACGACGGGCGTGAATTCCAGTAAATTTCAAGCTTTCAAGCATTAAACACGCTAAAAACGCTAAATACAAGAAAAAAAATTTAAAATTGTTTGCTGCTTTTTTTGTTCTTTGGATGCGATAAAAACAACAAAATTACCTCATCGCCAGAACAGCTTGTTATGACACCCTGCCGCCCGGCGCCCGCCGCCCACCGCCTGCTTCTTGCTTTTTTATTTCATCTCTTAATGTTGCCTTGTTGGTTTTTATGCTACTTTTTCAGATAAAAATTTTTCGCGCTTTCTGCAGTGTATTCGTATCTGAATCGTGGTGCTTGAAGAGTATCTTGAAGTTGAAGTTTTTATTACTGTTAGTTTTGGTAATTTGTAAGTACAAGTACAAACAGATTTATGGCTATTCTTCAAAATGTATTTATAAAGCAATATGTGAACTTGTGTTAATAAAATCGTACTAAAGTACTAAAAATGTAGTGAGTATGAATACCTATAGCTTACGCATTGACATATCGATATATATAAGTAAGATCTTTTTGAAAGATTTCCTTTTTATGAGCATAACCGGACTGTTAAGTCCATTAATTTTAAAAATTTTACTTTTTTGTCTTTTATTTATCAGTTTTTAATGCCATTAGCTGGCAGTTGGTTCTATATGCAATATTTCAATGGATATACTATATTTGAACTAATTGGGGAAGTTTAGTAAATGAATGTCGAAGATATTTGAAATTTTGATATAAACATATTATCATTTGACTATTTTCTTATTACAAATAGGTGTATCATAGTTGTACATTGAGCTAAGTATAGATAAAAAGTTAGTTGTAAATCTTCGTCGAATTCTTCACCTTTGTCGAATACTTTCTTAATCTTTGCTGTTTATTTACCATATAATATACATTAAGACTGAAAAGTTTTCGGAAATTCTCATTTAAAATTCGCGCGCTGTATATTTTTCGATATTTTAAGTTTATGTAGTTTGGCAGCACTGTCCTTAATTACTATGCCAAAAATGAGCGCGATCTGTCAGACAGTTCGTTTACGGCAGCTGTTGAAACCAGTTCCCCTCAGTAGTGCGTTGCGAAATGTCTTCGACGGTCGTACGACCGTCCTGAAAGGCTTTGTACCACTCATAAACTTGAGTTTTCGATAAAACTGATTCCCCATAAGCCTTTTGTAGCATTCGCAACGATTCTGCACACGAAATTTCGTTCGAAACACAAAATTTGATGCAAACTCTTTGTCCAATATTTTTTTCCATTGTTTTTTTCGCAACGCACTACTGAGGTGAACTGGTTTCAACAGCTGCCGTAAACGAACTGTCTGACAGATCGCGCTCATTTTTGTCATATTAATTGTCCTTAATTGCTGCCAAACTACATAAACTTAAAATATCGAAAAATATACAGCGCGCGAATTTTAAATGAGAATTTCCGAAAACTTTTCGGTCTTAATGTATGTTTTAAGTCTTTAAAGTTGTTTATCGATATGATGTGATATATGCTGTGACTGACTTATAGTCTTCTTCAGAAAACATATATCAGTATAAAGTAATATTAGAAGAAACAAAATTACAGCCTTTGATATATATTATTCTAGATTAAATTGAGCAACAGAAAAAATCACTGAATTCAATCACTGGATCGAGTTCTTTTGACCTTTACGTGTAAATTATTTCTGAATAATAATTATATTATAGGACTCCATCCTTCAACAAATAGAAAACAATGAAATAACTATGAAAGCCCCATATGAAGTTCACAATATTAGAATATTCTCCATATATTGTAATATAAATTTATATATATTTATCTATAAAAACATTTATATAATTTTATATATGTATTGTATTTTAAATAGAATATGAAGTTTTCAGTTATCTCTCCATTAACTTCATATAAATTTTATTTTATTTATTTAACAAGTGTAGAAATAATCGTAAACAAATCATAATCGATCTGTTGTTTTCTTTGATCTATTATATATGTATACAATGAATATCTCTTTTCGCTGAATTATTTTTGCTGATCGCTACTCAACTTGTTTTTGTTAAAATTGTAGGCGTTGTTATCTCTTAAACTGTCAATAACTGCTTTGGCTACACTCAATTGATATAAAATTTCGGTTTGTCCACTGACCTTATTTATTTATTGTTATTCAATTCAGTAGAATTAAAAATACTCGGGCGATTGCATATTCACATACTTGCATAAAAGCATAATGCCAACTTCGCTTGCGTCTGCAGCTTTTTTTGTCCAATTTTAAATTATTTTTACGTTGAACACAACTCGAATTTGGTTGCATGTGTGGGATGACAGCATCCGCTCGTTTTCGCCTTTCATTCATGCAACTTTTAAAACTAAAGTAAAAAATTATTTATTTCTTATTACAACGTTTAGAAATACAAATTTGGCCAGACAAATTACTTAGTTTTCATCTAATAGATACACGAGTATGTTTAAGTTTCAGTAGATTGTGTTGTTACTAATTATAGTTAAAAACAAGTAATAACCCTATATATTATGGATAAATAGTTTTATTAAAAATTTATATATGCTTTTCATTTTATTATAATACAATAGTTATGATATGGAAATATATTTTTAAGTTCATAGACCGGTATCTTACTTGTTTGTGTTTAGTTCAATTGCTCCAGATTTCTTCAACACTCGTAACCTTATCTTTTAACCGCAAGCATTTACTCTTTTTAAATCTATTCGTTTACTTGATAATGAAATATGTGTGTTCATAATACAGACAACGACTGCTTGTACGAAGTTTGGTAGATAAAACTGTAGCGATATTACGTATAACAGGCGAGTATATAAAATAATAGTTTTTAAATAAAAGTATTCACTCCAATAAAAATCGATCAATTTACCTACTATTCGCTATATAATACACACAAATGATACCAATAATTATACCTTGTTCGTGGTGTAATATGTTAGCAACTTGATACATGGGTCATAATATATTTGTTAAAATCTGATTCCAGAAATAGATTTCATGGGATAGATTTAAATAAGTTCAAAAATTTTTTACATAATTAAACTTGAAGAAAATAGGCATTAACAAAGAAGAAAGAGTAAAACGTTGCTGATGTGATCCGTCTCTGCGCGTCACTACTTCTAACGCGTCTTTTCACTATAGGGTCCCAGTTATTTACATATTAATCCAAAATCGCATATGTGTAAAAATAGTGTGTTTCTAAGGGCTTAAGTAATATAGGTTGCCATTCGATCTATATCTAGCTACATATTTAAATTTTTTTAGAATGTGTACCTTTCATATAGTATTATCTTATTAATTTTTGACTTATGAAATTGAAACTTTGGCAAGATAAAATCATTTTTTTAAGTTTTCGAAATTGCTTTTATATCGTATAACATATGGTTTTTTTTACTTTGTTTAGTGTTAATTTTACAAAAACACTTGTTTAGAACGCATTATTTTAACAAAATAAATTGGCTATCATCTGAAATCAGGAAAAAGTAAAATTATGAAAAAAATATGGACAATTCAAAATTCCAGTTTGGCAATAAATGACTTAAGTTGGCGGTATCTCTCGCTTCTATTTGGTCTGATATGCTGGAATGTTTTGTTTTCACGATATTTCAAGTGGGAGTAGACTGAAATCTAGAAACATTGAGTTGTAGTCACTTGTGGAGCTGAATTACGTGGTAGATACAGATACAGATACAGATACAGATACCATACAAATATTTAAAATAATTTTCGTTATTTAGAACAGGTTTCAAAATATTTATAAAAATAAATTTGAATTGCTTTTTGAAGTTTTTCTACTTTAAAACATACTAGGTAACATAAAGTTAAATACAGAACCATATTTACGATTGCTATAAAAAGATACTGCAAATTATTAGATATAAATTGCAAATGTACATGCGTATATATATATTATCTTGTTAACTACCTCAAGTCACGTAATTCCAATATAACATAAATAATAGTGAAAATTACTTTGCAAGAGTGTTATAATTTGGTCACTCAATTATTATTCAATTACAACTTATTCTTAATAAAATACTTACTTTGTATTATTGCTTGGATAAATAGACACATATTTATCTGAACATATATATAAACAAAGTCATTGTCACTGCATCGAACCCGACTGTGTAAACTTGAATTGAAATTGAAATGTCTTCTTTGTGTTTTATTTTTAATTTTTTGTTTTGATTATTTCTGCGATGATTAAATGGAATTCCACT